GAGTTTGGTGAGTTGAGTGGTAATACCATCCAACGATAGGACCGACCCTGCTCCCACCTCTAGCTTCATAACTGAACGCTTTCCACACCTATTTTATCCCGAATCGTGCCTTTAAAGGCAGGCTCGCTTACTGCCAGCGAACTCTGCTGTTCACTGGTCTGCTGTGAACCCTCCAGAAGATTCCGAGAGGCATTCAATGAAACTCTTTGATGACAAAACCTTCCTTTCCCTTTTCAACTTTGTTGCATTACGTCAATCCCTTTCTTGGGCCTTCTTTTTGCTCTAATGCTGCTGGCTTGATGGTTCCATTGTTATGCGCTCATCATGTGTAGCTTTTCTGTTTGAAAACCAAAGAGGTTGTCCATTCTTAGAAATACTTTCATGCCCACGTTCAAAGCATTTTCCAAGAAACTCATCATTCATTCTTCAAATCAATTCATTATCATGCTCATTTATTCGTTATTACTCGGTATATCGATGTTACGTAGTTATTTGTTTGCATTATTTATAAAGCTTTACTGGTGCTGTCGCGAAACCGGGGCGTTCCTTAGGAGAAACCCTGCGGGGAGAGCAGGAACTCCGGCGCCAAGGAACGGAATACCCTGCATTCCCGCTGAGCCTAAGGCTTATGGTTAGTGCTCGTACAACAACAAAGCGATGTTTAAAACTTTTAACAAGTGACCCTAGGGCGCGGGTTCACGATGAAAAGACAGTCCACCAGAAATCAATAATGGGGTGGTCCGTGATGCAGGGATGAAGAAAAAATCAAGAGAAACGGTCTAGAGCCCAAGAAATGAAACCCTCTTCGCACGCTGATTTGCGTGTAATGCTGTCTCATCTATGCTGAACTCATCAATGCTAACGCTCCCTCTGCTAGAGCGACTAGAGTCTGAGGTCGATGGGGTCGGTGGGTGGCGGCGCGGGTGTGGCCCTACGTCGCTGGGGTCAAAACATTCGCTGCAGAACCCGCTCGTCCCGCACCCTCAGCGGGCCCGCCTGCCTCCGAGGTACCACAGGGTGTTCAAAAATTACGGTAAGGAGAGCGTAAACAAAACATATCGATTTCCTTCTTG